AGAAAAATAACCCCCCCCCAAACCTCCACCCAAGCTCTGTTTACACCAAACCTGCTGCAGCCCTGAATGGGAGCAATAAATGGAGTGAGCTAATGTGTTAGTGACAAATAACCCGTTCAAACAATTCAAGCATAATTATAGGCTGGCTCTCCTGATGTAACATTGGGGACATCACTGCAGATATTACATTCACCTTATGAAAAGATTGCACAGAGGAGCTCAGTTGGTAACCCAAACAGCATTATATATCACTAGCCTGTCAGCATCAGGAGTGCATGCACCCTGGCATTTGAAGTCCTGGTGTTTTAAGTGATAATCCAATGTACCAGGCATCATTGATCTCTATATAAAAGGGGGCACCACTTTTCCTTTCAACGGGAGCTATTTTTCACTTCTCATCCTGAAGAGTTGTGTGGTGCTGCCCGCAAGTGGCTACACTGCACAGCAGCTCTGTCTGTAGTACTCCGGGTCCCTGGGGAGAAAAAATGATCAATACTCCAATGCTGCTTTTGTAAGAGGTCTCTAAGTGCTTCCATGTGAGATGCTGCTCCTCTGGGTTTAGAAATTACTCTGAAGAGAACATGAAAGCCCCCACTGCAAATTCATAATCCTGACACAAACCCCAGCTGCAGCAAGGAATTAAAATGAAATTCATTGGCGAACTGCAAGTTGGTCTATCGGCAAAGGCGGCGTCTGTGATGTGAGGAAAAGGACCTACAAAAGAGACCAATACCTGGAGGCTAAGGGAGCCGGAAAACCATGTTAGAGGAGAACCAGCTGGGGACAAGGAAGCATCGCAATGCCCTGCAAATAACCGCCCATGTAACAGGATGAATCTTGACAGGGATTTAGAACTCCTCGGTGGGTCTGGGATGGCAGGGACCCTGAGCGCTGCATCATCTGAGAAAGGTGACAGTAATCAGAGAGTCATGGGAGGAAGACAAAGGCATATGAAGGGTCAGACTTGCTGTGGGTAGGTGAGCAGAGCCTAGAAAGTCTCAAGAAAAGCATCTGGATAGCGACAGTGAATGCAGAAAACAGATTGAATCTTCTATTTCTTGGATACACCAAAAGACACTAAACTTCTCGCAACTAATTTTTTCCAGGGGGATCTTAAGTTGGCTTTGGCTCTTCCTGCACTTGGGCTGGAAGAAGTCTTTCATGATCATCTGTAACCTCTCTTGATCTAATCCTTCTCACTGCCTGGCAGCCCACAAGAGTAGGACCAGCCACGCCAGGCAGACAGGCTTCAGAGCGGGCAGCTGGCGCTTCCTCAGTAGAGCGGGTATCAAATTCCTAGATCGGGGAGTGGTGAGTGCGTGTTGTAAGATGGGATTCATGAGCCATGGTGGACGCAAATGCCCTTGACAGTCTTTTACTGCCTGGCTGGGTTTTGCAATTGGATCCTGTGCAGGGCCAGAGAAACCCAGCCTGCGCAGGAGGCAGCGGCAGAAAGCCAGTCGCACCCTCAACACCCAACTTGTGCCACAGTCACGCCTTGGGATGGCTGGCAGGGCTGTCCTCTCCTGGATGTGACTGCTCTGGGGCCACGTGAAGGCTGACAATATGCTCCTGTTCTGAATGTCACGCAGCACATGTCACCGGCTGTCCCATCGCAGGGCAGCCTTCCCGCAGCAGCCCAGTGCAGCAGCCCAGTGCTCTCTCGATTATCTTGACTGATCCCCACGAGGGAAAATTTAAGTAACATGACTTAAAAATGAGAAAGAAGACTGCTTGCTTCTGCGTGCAGTCAAGTCATTTCCTCTGGGGCCAGGAAGGACTGAAGGGCTGGGAAGGACTGGCAGCCAAGGGGAGGAAAGTGTCTGGGTCTGAGCAGGGGAAAAGGGGAGAAGTGATGTCCCCTGATCTCACCCCTGTGACTGCAGGGGCAGTGACAACCTCTCTCCTCCATACAGCTCCAAGCACAGCACTTGGATCGCTACTGGGACTATCAAGTGCCATCAGATACCAATCTGTTATAGCATGGGGCGAGCAGCTGGCTGCTCAGCATGTCTTCTGCTCTCAGTCCAAGGCTCCCAAGGCTCTGCTGAGTCTGGTCTCCCCAAAGTGCTCAGCACCCAGGGTGCGATAGCAGAGCAGGCACCTGGTGAGCGTTGTGCCCATGAACGCTGCTGCAGGCAGGCAGGCAACGGGAAGCTGCTGGAAGTGGGCAAAAATTCCTTGGTAGGGTTTTACCATTTTAAAGGGAACAAATTCCAACTGATTGCCCTTGTAAGAGCCTGCATGGTACTTGCACTTCTAGCCTAAGCAACAGAAATTTTAATTGCTCTGGTAATTACACTTTCAGCAATGCTGCAGTCCTTTGTTCTGAGAGCGGGAGGCCAATATCTGCTGTTCTCCGGTGGCCCCGTCTGGCTGCACCTTGGAACAGCATTTGCCACTTCGAGGGGAAGGGACACTCCTCCGGTGACCTGGGTGGCACTAAGCCTCACCACACACAGCCCCGCTCACAGAGATCTCTGGGACACAGGGCACATTCTCCAGGTCAGAATGGGTTCCCATCAACTGGGATCACCTCCGCTTCCTCCTGTTAAAGCTGCTGCTCAAGAGCTTCACACACTTGTGCTCCTGCCGTGAGTCTGTCCCCCGGCATGGGTCCCAGCCCTGATGCTCTGCCAAGGATGCTGGGCTCCAGGGTGCATGTTTCCCCAGTCTTTCCCATGCATGAGCTTGCAGGGATCCACAGTGTATCGCCAACATTTCTTCTCTGGCTGTAAACAGCTCCAAAACATGGTGCAGACACAAATGTTACATTGCTTTAACTTCTAGATACGTCTTTGGAAGAATGCAGAAGAGCTGTTATCCTCTTGAGTCCTGATGAGTACTGTCAAAGCCTAACTAGGCTTTGGAGAACACAAGGCCTACAATTTACCCTGGGAAATTACTAAGGAAAAATTATCACAACTGCCGTGCTATTGTACGGATAACAAATTAACCCTATAGAAGGCCCAGTGCCTGAGAAGTACGGTCTCTGCTTGGCTGAGCAGGAGCCACGTCCGGGGCTTCACTACACTATTCAAATGTAATGTTCTGTTGCCAATAAAGCTGCAGTGCACGTGGGTTCCTCCAAAATCACCCAGGATACAACCAGAACCAAGCACACGTTTGGCTCAAGAGCACTTTACCTGCAAGAATACGTCAGCCATAGCACAGACCTTCACGCTTCAGTTCACCAGCCAAGGACTGTTGGAGGCGCTGGGCTGCATGCACAGGGCTTAGGAGGATAAGTGTATGCACAAACTTAGTGAGGCTCTCCCTGGGAAATGGGATCCTGCTCCCCCCAGGTTGGTCAAGCTGTAAAATACAAAGCACGGGGCCCTGCAGGGAGGTACAACTGCAGTTTGGATTCACCAGACATGCGCAAAGTCTGGGTTTACTTGCAACCCCACTCATCCTGCCGCACCGTATTTTTCCAACCCATGATCCCGGCTGGCATGGGCCAGGGTGGCTCAGCTCCCACGCTTGCCAGAAATGCAGGTCACAGCCATACATCTCTAAATCAACAGCTGCCAACATGCCACAGCTACTTTGTCACATGTCAGACCACTCACAGCTAAAAGCAAGGTTTCCAAGCAGAATTCCTATTGGCCTTAGTGCTTAAACAAAATAGCTCCACTCCCGTCCCTGGAGTTTCCTCGAACAATGGCACAAAACACCCACTGGAGCCTGGGGAGAGGAGGGTCTGTGGCAGAAAAAAAGGCGACTGCTGATTTTTGAGATATATACCACACAATTAGAAACATTGGATCTATAAACATGCTTAACAAACCCCAATAGGTCTGGGGGTTTTATTTTCCTCGCTGCCCATTGTGTGCCGCCGCCTTTAAAAACCTCAAAACCAAATGCTCTTCCCTTGCTGATTTTATGCTTTGGCACTGAACTGCACATTTCTCTGTTAGCTCGGTGGTGCTGGAGGTACCAACTCTGCTCATCCATGCCTCTGGGGCCAGGATAGTTGGGATGGGACCGTGTACCACATGCTAATCACCCATCCACAGGTGGGAAGGATTCTCTCAGAAATTATCTCCCTTCTTGTTTAAACACTGAGATTTCTCAGCTTAGAAAGGGGTAGGTGCTGTTTGTGGATGTCCCTCTTCCTCATCAGGACTGTTCTCGTCAGCATTTCAGAGCAGATCTAATTACAGGCTGTTCCATTCATTGACAATTTCATATATCCTCCTTTTTTAGGTTAACCTTCAATAACTGGCAAGAAGCAGAACTATATGGGTGGAGGTAACAGGCTATGGATTTATGACATGCTGGTATTCAGGCAAAGTAACCCAGCGCGAACAGAGAAATATCCTGAACTGTGCTGCTGCTGTCAATTTGATAATGAGAATGTGATTTAAAATAAAAACATCTTGGGTGCCAATTCACTACAGCAGCTAGTAAAAATAGGCAGAATACCTAGAAACTGAGGACGCTGTGCTCCAAACACATATCATACGGTACCTTATGAAAACAGAGTGCGTGGCTGCGCTGGGGCTACAGTACCACAAGTGAAAGGCCACTCAGTGAACCCACGCCTGAGCTTTAGCAGAGAGAATGGGGTGCTGTGTGCCTCTAGCTGAGCAGAGGTGAGGGCTGCCCTCTTTGGTGCTCTGCAGCCATTGGATCCTTACCCCCAGCCCACGCTCCCAGAGTCACCCCAGCACAAAACAGTGCAGGGTCTGAGCTGCAAACACCCCTGGGCAAAGCCTGGGGGAGTTCTGCCAGAGCCCGTGGCACCCAAGAGCCAGCCTTTTAGCCAAATAAGAGCAGCTTTTAAATGCTGCAGAAAAAGGGGCTGCAGGGCCTCGTGCATTTTAAAGGACCTGGCCTTCACAGGAGTTGTTCCCAGTTTCAGGTCAAGCCTGAAGCCTGCTTTAATCTACTTTTAAGTGGTACAAGCAGTTGTGATCCCTCTGCCAGAAGGCAGGGCAGTTTCCTTTCAATGCACCTTCCCCTATCTGCTGTGTGCAATCTTCCACGGGACTTACTTGTTGCTGTCCCGGTACTGATAGATATAACAGCCTTGAGGCATCCCACTCTCCTGGTCCAAGGTAAACGAGAGCTTCAGCTGCAGAGAGGAGAGGGGGTGGGGGAGAGTGAAAAGAGAGAGAGAGAAAAAAAAAGCAACATTTTAGGCTCTCAGTCATCACAGCAACTTCAAGCGAGGCTTGTGGGAGAAAGCTTAACTCACTGACTGACACGCAAACACCGTGGCCTGGAACATACTGCGGGGTTCCAAACCTCAGGGAAAAGTCACATGCGTTGCAGAAACCTCTCGCTTTTTCCACCCTTTGTTACTATAAAGTGTTTGTGGTTCTTTCTGAAATGCATGGGTCATAACGGTTCACCCCTCCAAACCCACCCACACACACCACCCTTCACCAAAGCGATTGCGGTTCCCCTCAGACACTAAAGAAATGAGTCTTCTCCATCAGCAGCTGTAGTTCCCACGAGTCTTTCCCTGAAAACTTTCCCGGCTCCATCTCGTTCCTCCAGTGCATTAGAACAGAGGAGAAACCACAGAGGGAAAGGTGACAGATTTTCCCTTCTGTGCAGAGTTATTAAAGAGCTGTTTAGAAGGGTTTGCAGTTTGGACCAGCGTCCGGCAGGAGGCTATGATGTGACCTGGAAGCTGCTTTCTTTGCAGCTCCAAGAAGGTGTTTGGCAAGGGCTTTCAGGTTTCAAACACGGCTCATTTTATTTAAGGGGGAAAAATTAATCCTCTTTCAACAAGCAACAGAATGGTTCTGTGGAGAGACTTTTTTCCTGAACATGTCTCCAGTTATTTTATACGCCGAACTGCCTAGAAAACAGCATGGGGCTGAGCCCTGCAACAGCCCTGCACATCCGAGCATCCCCTCATTCCTCAGGGGAAGGCTGCTGGCCCCCAGACCAGTGTCTGACCAGGTCCTGCAGCTACAAGGTGCAGCCCCCGGGCTCTGCAAAAGGGCTGCAGACCCTGACCAGGAGCCAGCAGGCTGGGTAAGAGAGGCAGGATCCTTCGGAGGAGGTAGCTGCAGTCCTTATGCGCGGAATGCCTTGGCTTTTTTGGGGTCACAGAGATTACTAACAGCAGGGCTGTTACCACTGCTGGATCATGCAGGACTCTTGAAACGGTCTGGGGAGACCGTCACAAGGGCTAATAGTCAAAGGAGGTTTGCTATGATGAGCCTGACCTTTTTAAACAGGGAAAGGAGAAGAGAGCAGTGTTGAGCCACTCCCGGAGTTTGATCACAAACTCCTCTCCTCTGGGTTCCCAGGAAATTGCTAACTCAAATTAACAGCTTATTCAGGAATGAACACAGAATTAAACATGTTTCTCCCATAGGCTGTTAAGAAACCCCATGTGCTGAATCATTAGATGGTGCACTGATTTTTCCTTCCCTAAAGGGTAGCAAAGTCATATGCTGTGCTCTCACTGACCCAAATAAAACTGCACACCATGAAATCATTGAAAAATTCACCGTCTTGGGTACCGAGTTAAGAGCCCAGTACCAGGCTGAGGCCAAATCCAGCTCATCTCCCTTGACTTCTATGTCCCCAATTCTGCAAGCCATTCTGAAACACACACTCCAGCGACAGCATGTATCACTCGTGTCCATGCTTTGCATGCGTCCATTGTACAAGTACCACGATTTGCACCACTGTCCAGATGGCAACTTCTTATGCTCTCAACCACTACCCCTTCCTGCAACCTCTGATCTCACTACAGCTTAGCAGATTCCTCAGATCCATTTTGGAGACCAGTGCCTAAGGCAGCACTAACAGGGCTAGCTGGGGATATTTCTTCTTGCTGAGATCCATAAAGCCAGGCTGCAGCTCCAGCCTTTCCAGATGCTGTGACGGCACATGGCAGCTACCCCACAGGAGCAGGAGGTCAGCAAGAAACAAGCCACCTCCCCAAGGGAGACAAACGATCGCCTTGCTCTGGCACAGGCAAAGGTCACTTGCCTGTAACCAGAGTCCCCCAGGTAAGCTGCCCTAGTTTGGGGAACTGAAAGAGGAACTTGGAACTGCCCAAAGCTATTTTTCTGGGCCAGGTTTTCCAAAGCTTTCCTGCTAGAGTATCAGAAAGCACCTCTGAGGCAAAAGGGACAGCGTTTATCTCAGGCACAGCTCCACCTGGTCCTGTGCTTTGAGGAAAGGGCACTGCACTGCAGAGTTACTAGAGAAGAAACACAGAAGAAAGTGCGAAATCGGGCAAAACTGTGGCTTTGGCCACTTTCAACAATATTTCTGATAAGGGCAAACTCAGGAATGACCAAGCCTCTCATTTGCAGCTCTCAGCTAAGTGGGCTTTGGGCTTGCAGTAACCAAGCATCTCTGGTTACAGCTCACCTGGGCTCTGGGCCCCTGGCATCATCCAGGGCCAGAGCCAGCTCTGTGCAAGGAGACAAGTCCAGGGGAAGGGAAGGAAGGAAAAGGGCTTGGAAGGAAAACAGCCTTGTTTGGACAGGCTGCTGGGAAAAGCTGTGGGGCAATCAGGTGTGGGAGGGTGACCTTTCCACTATCTGGGGGGATGGGGTCCCATGGAACCCGCCTACCCAAAAAGGAAAGATCAGAGTTCCCAGAGATAACGGGTTTTCAACTTTCTGTTATTTTAACCCTTCTTTGTCTGCTCATGGTATTCCAGACAAATAAAACACACCCTTGTTTGGCAGGCTCAGCCATCTCTGCTTACCCGCCAGTGCCAGCAAGGCCTGTGTAACAGGGACATTGAGGTGCTGGAGCATGTCCGAAGAAGGTGGTGAAGGGTCTAGAGCACAAGTCTTATGAGGAGTGGCTGAAGGAACTGGGGTTGGTTAGCCTGGAGAAAAGGAGACTGAGGGGAGACCTTATTGCTCTCTACAACTATCTGAAAGGAGGTTGCAGCGAGATGGGTGTCAGTCTCTTCTCCCAAGTAACAAGTGATAGGACAAGAGGAAACAGCCTCAAGCTGTGCCAGGGGAGGTTTAGATTGGATATTAGGAAAAAATTCTTCACTGAAAGAGTTGTCAAGCATTGGAACAGGCTGCCCAGGGAAGTGGTCAAGTCCCCATCCCTGGAGGTATTTAAGAGATGTGTAGATGTGGTGCTTAGGGACATGGTTTAGTGGTGGCCTTGGCAGTGCTAGGTTATCAGTTGGACTTGATGATCTTAAAGGTCTTTTCCAACCTAAATGATTATATGATTCTATCTGGGGCAATACTGTCAGGTAAGAGGATGCTGCTGTCACCCTCAGTGACAAGAGGACCCCACTCAGAGAAATGTCAGGGTCAGGCTGTCACATGAAGAGACGTGTAACTAAAGGTCTGTCCCAGCAACCATAGCTCAAGGCAGCTGTGCTGTCACTGATGCACAAACCCCAGCTCTTCTGCAGATCTGCTCTGCTGATGCACTGTCATGGCCAGCCAGGAAGGGGAAGAGGTGACCTGAGATTGTCACCCAGGCCAGGAGTCCTTACAGACCCCAAATGAACAGCCAAGCTCTGGCTGTGCGGCCACTGGCAATGCTTTGGCTGCCTTTGCTCATTTGGTGCCATTTGCATGGAGCCCCCAGGCAAAACTCATCACAGGGTGGCAAGAGCGGGTAAGGCAGGTACAGAAGGACTAGCTGAGTGCTGCCAGGAGGCAAACTGGGATGCAGAGATTGTGAGATTCCTACTAAGCTTGAAAAGGTTGTCCACACCCACTCAATACCATGTAGTTGGGTCCTCTCTGCTGTTGGAGCGACAGGAGTGCTCCACTGACCACCCTCAGACATGTGCTCACTTCTGCACGGCTGTGCTCAGCTGCAAAGGCACTTACGCTCCCCGGCACCTCGGTGCTTTGGAAGGTCTGCTCCACAGATTTTTCCTCTCATGCTAAAGCTAATCTATGAGGTGCTTGCTGCCACATATCTCTGAGAACAAAACTCAGGTGTCCTTTCCCACCTCTCTGCACACCCTACACTGCTGCTTCTCTGGTCCCATCTTCTCCAGCAGCCACCCTTTCCTCTTGCCTTCATTGACTAAGCACAAAACCTCTGGTTACTTCTGAATTAAAGAAGGTTGTGGGGCAAGGCTGTGGGCAGGAGAGATGTCAGGAGCTGATTTACCACTTTGTCGTTCCTGCTATCTGCCTTCTGCTACAGCAATGTCACAAGACATCCAGAACCTCCCAGATACACGAAGCCCTACAAAACAAGCAGGCTTTTGCAATCCTCCCTCTGGCACAGCTCTAACTCTTAACCAATTTGACAACATTGCTCCAACACCGCCTGCTGCTTTGAAGCTCCTTTTTTTGTGTGTCGGTGCTCTTTGTCAGAAGGCAAAGGCTTGCCATAAAGCCAGCAAACCAGCTAATACCAAAACAAAGGAAAGGGCACTGCTCTTCAAAATACCAGATTTTATGCCTGCAGGGGCAATGGGGGACTGAGGTTTCTTACAGAAATGCAAGTGCAGGGTGACCCCATCACAAGGAAGGCTCATCAGATCAAGGGATCTTCAGCACTAAACATATGAGATCATTTCATTTTACAAGACACTGCTGGGCTTCACTAGGAGAGGAGGGGGAGAGGAAATTTCCCAGCGCCGTACTGCGGTGCGATTTGGCTTGCACTGCCCCCTTCAGTAGCGTAGCCCTGGAGCTCACATGCTAATAAAGATCCCTTTCCACTTCAGTAGCTTTGCACATAAAGAAACGCTCGTCATGGTGCGTGCGTGAACTCAATGGGAAAGGGAGCTGGAACGTAGCCATGCTGAGAACAGAGTGCTGCCTACCAGGCGAGCCCCATCAATAATTGAGATGTCAGAGGCACAGGGAGGTGTGTGAGTAAGAGCTGTCAAAAGGAGTAATTGGGATCTGTGTGGATACAGTGATGGATAGGCTCACTCGCCACCAGACACAATTGCAATACACCCAAACAGAAGAGGAGCACGGCGCTGAAATTCAAAGGGGCTGGGGCAGGCTGTTTGATGGGCAGGGCGTCATTGCCTCCATGGTACCCAAAGTAACAACCAGGCGTGGGCATGTTATCCGGTGATTGGTTGATGGAGCAAGAGAATGTACTCACAACACATGGCTGATCCTTGGTAATGTTTGGTGGCAT